CTTAATACTTGGTTTAAATCAAACAAATTATCATTGAATACAGAAAAAACCAACTACATTCTATTTCACACCAATCAAAGAAAAAAATCTATACCAATTCCATTACCGTCTCTAAAAATAGAAAATAAATTTATCGAAAGAACCAAAGCAACAAAATTTTTAGGAATACTTATCGATGAGAATATTTCATGGAAAGCTCACATAAACTTATTAAATACCAAAATAAGAAACAACATTTGCATGCTTTACAAAGCTAGACCGATGCTACCCCAAAAAAATTTAAAGCTACTTTATTTCTCCTTCATTCAAACCTATTATACGTATGGTAATATAGCATGGGCAAGTACCCATAGATCCAACCTAGTGGCACTTTATCGACATCAAAAACATGCTGCAAGAATAGTATTTAATAAAGATAAATTTACTCATGCCGAACCTTTGCTAAAGCTTCTAAATGCACTAAATGTCTACAAAATTAACATTTACCAAAATTTGATATTCATGCTCAAATATAAACTCGGACTTGTCCCATTACATTTTTCAGAAGAATTTTTTAAATGCAATAGAAATAAATATGAAACTCGAGGAATAGGAAATTTTAAAGTACCATATAAAAAAACAAAACTATCACGTTTCTCCATCTCCTATCGCGGCCCTTACCTCTACAACAAACTAATAGCTAAAAATACTATAATTACAAAACTACTTAACCATAATTCTCTGAAAACACTTTTAAAAAAACTTGTTCTAAACTTAAACAATTTTACAAACGTATATTAAAACAAATAACTAAAAACCCCTAAAAAATCCACTTTAAAGCAAAGTAAATGTTAGATTTTATTTATATTTCGTACATGTCAATATACTAAGTATAACAAACCATGTAACTATATATTTATGTGTATCAAATACAGCTCTTTTCCGTTTTTTGTTTTTGATTATCTAGTAGCTTTTTATGTGTGACTCTTATGCCACCATAAGACTTTGACAAACTGAAATTTCTTAATAAATTAAGTATACAAAATATCGCAACTAAAAGCGGTTTCTTGATGACAAGACCAAAATGGTCTTCTGCAAGTTTCCCGCGTCTTTTAACAGTGTTACTTTTTTATATATATTATTATTTGTATTAAAAAAAGTTTTCTTATTATATGTACGGTATTTTTTTTATACAATGTAAACGAACTAGTTTATATTTATGATCACGTATTTGTAAAGCTTTGATAAAAGACAAAAAAAAAAAAATATGATTTCTCCATGACAAATTCTCGTCTATTTTAACACTAAGAAACATTTTTTCGTGTTATAATAAGCAGCTTTAGATTTTTAAAGGTAGCGATTTTGATTTTATGATTTAAAATGTAGTTTTTTTTTTAATGTCTCTCTGCTTTGAACTGTTTATTAATAATAAGTTAAAGTTTTCCAGTTCAGTATTTATTGTTCCTAACATTAATTTTAAAATACTATGATTATAAAATATTGTTGCGTCATCAGCATACATTATTGAAGATAGGGTAGGGTGGGGCAAGAGGCCTAGGTGGGGTAAAAGGCCCATCCTGCAGTTATAAAGAACCTAGGTAAAATATTATAATTATTGTTTTGTAGTATAAATGATAAATGTGTAACAGTGTTGCGAGCGAACTTTGGTGAACTTTTAGTAGAAATATAATTTTTAACAGAATATTGAAGACTTGACAGGTAATAAGAATAGGACATTTTGATTTTTTGCGTAATTTTAAAATTTTTTTGTAGATTATTGTTAAACTTAGTTGATTATTTAAATGAGTTTATGTATTTGTAAGCGTACAAATTATGTATTGATTATTTACATAACGTTCATTGTACTATAGAATAATATGTTTTAATCAAATTTTGCACCGACTATTTTGGGGCAAAAAGCCCAGTTTGTTAATGGGGCAAAAGACCCATCCTGAGCTTTTTACCCCTTGCATTATTTAAGTAGAATGTTCAAATTTTAACTTTATTTTATTTATAGATATGGTTAGTTATTACAAAAGGAAGACAAAAAGAGGAAGTTATGGAGCAGAAGGTTTACAACGGGCTTTAGATTCAGTAAAAAATGGTATGTCTTTGCGTAAAGCTGAAAACAGTTTTGGAGTTTCAAGGAAGACATTGAGAAGGCATTTGCAGGGCAAAGTAAGACAAGTTGGGAGCAATAAATTAGGAAATCGTGTGAATACTTCTATTGAAATTGAACAAGATCTTGTTAAACACATCCAAATGATGGAAAGAGCATTATTAGATAGAAACGAAACAAGTGAACCTACGAATACAAATGAAGAAGCCGGCAATGCGGTGGATGATGAAGCATCGGTTAATGTGATGGAGACTGATAGGATTGCAACAGGAGATAGCAATGAGTCCGATGAAAATCAACTAGATAAAACAGCTGATCATCCTGGTTTATCCGAAGCATTGCAGATTATATCAGAACTAAGCCCTATTCCAAGGATAAAGAATGTACGCAGTCGCAAACGAAAAACCGAAGCAGCAACTGTAATAACTTCTAGTCCTTATAAAGCAATGTTAATTGAAGCAAATGCAAAGAAGACAAAACAGAACAAGCAAGTAGTAGTTGAAAATAATAATGAGGAAAATGATGAAGACGAAATCGATGTAATCGCAGACAAATCCAAGAGAACGAAAAGTGGAGATGACAAAGAAACCGGGAAAAGGAAGCAATATGCGAGAACAAAATCAAAAAGGACAATCAAAAGTAACGCATCGAATGCTAACGTGATAAGAAAAGGGTCAAAAGAACGAAGATGTGTAGGTTCTGTTACTAACAGTGATGATACGTCATGTTGCATGTGTGGTAAAAGATTTAACGAACCACCCATTGATGACTGGCAGCAATGCCCAGAATGTCTCAACTGGTACCACGACGGCTGTGGTCCTGATGACAATGCTGTCTGCTTTCACTGCCAATAGGCATAATCAATTCAACTAGTCTTACTGTAGTTTTTTAGCTGTCTTTTTAGCTGTATGAATTAGTTTTTTAGCTGTCTTTATGGGTTATGAATTATTTTTTTAGATATCTTTTAAGCTCTATGAATTAGTTTTTTTAGCAACTTTTAAGCTCTATGAATTAGCTTTTAGTTGTGTTTTTCAGCTATATAAATTAGTTTTTATAGCTATCTTTTTAGTCTATAAATTTTTAGCTCTTTTTGGCTCTATTAATTTTACGGTGCTGTTTGCCATTGTCATATGATAGCATATATGGTGCTACTTGCTAATATTATGGGGCTAAGTATTCTACTAAAACTTTTGTTGGACATTTTTACACACAAATATATTGTGACTAGTAAAAAGTGTATTGTTGCAATAAATTTTTATTGTAAAAAAGGAATATTTCAAGCTACTAACGTTTGGGGTAAAATTCCCACTCTATAACAGTTTATAAAAAGCATATTTCCATTAAAACTTGAGTAGCCATTAAGAAAATAACTTTAGATACATAAGTTTATTATGTATCTGAAATAATGGTAACATAAATTTCTAGATACGTTTATTGGATCAGTAAAAAAAAGACGAAATTGCTTATGGTGGGCTTCTTGCCCCACCTTACCCTACTATAGGTAATGCCTTATACATATCATAGATATAAATGAAAAACAACAACGGTCCTAAGATTCTTGAGATTTTTGAGAGAACTCACACTCAATATCAAGGACACATGACTTCTTGTTTAATGCAAGCTGTTTTCTGTTACTCAATTTTTTGCCTATTTATACATTAGTCTTTTGATACCATAATTTTTTAATTTAGATTGTAAGACGTCGTGGTCATCTGTACCAAATGTCTTTGAAAGGTCTGTACATCATACTCTTCTGTAAATACTCCCAAATCATAATCTTCTTTATCAAAAAATTGAAATATTTTAATTGTAAGTTTAATGATAGCATACTCTGTTGAATAAATTTTTTGAAAATCAAATTGATTTTATATATTTTGATTCATCAACTAGGAAGCAAAATTTTCTAAACTTGAGTAGCGACAAAAAAATTTCAACTTCATTTGATTTTCAACATACTAAAGAAAAGTTTTCATTCATCCGTTTTTTTAAATTCCCGTAGAAAAGCGTGTGAAACTCACCTTAAAGGACTGAAGAGTTAAGTCTTATTATTTTGATTGTTTAGTTACGCTAAAAAAATGCAATTGAACATATCTTAATTTATAAAAATGCGAAATTTGTGTACTTCTTAGAACATGCATTAAATTGTCAATATTGCCAGTTTTCAACCAATCGAAACTTGTTATTGCCAGTTTTCAACCAATCGAAATTTGTTATGCAGCATTGATGCTTCTTATTTAAAGTAGATTTTAGTACTGATTAAAGATACATAAAACGTGTCAATAACCAGTTTTGAATTTGGTTTACAGAAACCAGAGCCCATTCTCAATAGTTAATAACTGCTAATCGTACTCTTCGGTTAAACTCTTCTGTATAAAATTAAAACTTAAAAATAAAATAAAAAATCTTGTAGTTAAGAAATTATTCATAGGAACACCGATCATTTTTTTAAAAATAAAAATCTAGAAAAATCATATAAATATATAAAAATATAATTTTTGTATATAGTAACATTTTTTAAGAATATATATTAGTAATTATATAAAATATACTGATATATCTAATTATAATAATGTATATAGTTTTTATTTATTTTTAATATTAGTATATAGTATCTAATTATAGTATTGTATGGAGCAAATTTTTTTTAAGAATTTATATTAGTAATCTAATTATATATATCATAAAAATATGTAACATATTAATAATTTTTATCAACAATAATGATAAAAATAACAACAATAATTATGTTAATGATAATATTAAGAATAATAGTATTAAGAACAATAATAACAATAATAATAATAATATAAATAATAATAATAATAATAATATTTAAACATATATAATAGTTTTGTTAATAAGAAAATACTTAATTGAAAATAATAAAAAATAATGAAGAATATAAAAAGATTGAAAATATCGCTTTGATTAAAAAATATCATAAATCATTGTTGGTGAATATCGTACAAAACTTCTAATATAGATGCCATTGACCAGGCTTGGGTAGGGCAGCTATGATGGCATAATTCACCATTTTTATTAGTTAACTCAGGTAGCCCAGCCCAATCTGAGTGTAGTAATTCGCGTTTATGGTTTGATAAAATCTCGTATATTCTTTGTCTAACATCTTCGATTGGTTTCATTGATTTTTTAGCAAATATCCACATCGCTCTAAGAAAAGGTCCAAGGACCCATACCCATTCCTTAAACAAAAAAATATTAATAAATATATAGTAATACAGTCCACAAGTACAAGCAAGAACTACAGCAAAACCGAAACTGCAAACAAATTAGTAACATTCTCAAAGTTATCAACCAACAAAGCAGCAACCATTTGTCGACAGTTATCTCAAGATGGGATCAACATTCACACAACTTTACAGTCTGGTATAATCAGATCACACTCCTCGCATGTTTTACAGTATAAAAGAATAAAAATTAAAACATTCAGAATGTTTTTAAAAAAATTCTTTTAGTTTATTTAAACAATACATTTATTTAGTTTCCTCTATTAAAAAATTTTTAAAAACTTTGTTAAATTAGATGTCATAGAGTTAGTTAAGCGCGGTTTTTTATACAAACAGTATTAAGTTTTAAGACCTTTACTATGGTAAAGGTCTTAAAACTTACCTAGCTTTAGTATCCTGAAACTGTTCGGCAATAATTTGATGCTTTATTAGCAATATGCCAATGCAAACTTAAATATGTCAGAAGCTTGATTACTCACAACTAAAACTGAATTTCATCACTGTAAACAGCATCGCGAAATGGTAGTAATATACTCAATTCTATAAATACTTTTGTTGTCCCGACATGCCCCACCTAGGATTTCCAATCCGGATATCCGGATATCTGATTATCCGGATAATCCGTCTTATTTTGACTATTCGAAAATCCGGATAATTATCGTTAAATATTCGCCAATCCGGATATTTTTTGATAAATTAAATTTTGTTTTCAAATGGTGGGAAACTTTTAAACATGGAAATAAAAAAATGGAAAATTTAAATTAAAATAACAATCTTTTTTTTAATAAGTTTAGTAAATTTACTCAAAATAAGTACTTATTTCTATTTTCTTAAATGTTACCTTGTTTTTTTCTACACTTTGTAACAAATGTTTGTTGTTACACTTTGTAGCTCAGTTGTTTAAGCACATTAATATGTATATATTCTTTAAATTTGGGCATTTTAATTATAAATTAAATATATTTAATATTCTATTTTATAATTTTTTTTTTATCAACTGTAAGTATAACCCTTTATTTACCAAGGTATGGTAACTTTTAAAAGTGATAACAATATTGACATTTTTATTTCAACACCTATTTTCTAGAATAAAAAAACATTAAAACCTTTAAAAAAAAATTAAAAAAAAGGTTTTGCTGTTGCCATAGAAATATATTTTGGGTTAATAAGTCCCGTCTGGTATTTCCGGCTTCAACATTTTTGAAAGGTCAAATTAAAATACATTAAATTGTTTTATAAAAAATTATGAATAAATTAGATTATAACAACACAATTAGAAACAAAATATTTTCTTGGTTGATACATGATACAAAATATTTTTTTTTTTTTGCAATGAATCAAAATTCATGATACTCAGCAAAAAAATTTCTCTTATCAAGCATAAGTATACTTCACAAGCACTACTTTTATATGCGGACAAGCTTCTCGTTTTTCTTGCGCACATACCTCGCAACGACCACACTTACTGTCAAATTTTGGCCAATGAACGCCTAAATTTACTTTTCTAACTGCTAAGGATACAGAATCAATGGATACAGAATCAAGGCTAATCAAAAAAAAGAAAGTCAATGACTTTCTTTTTTTTGATTAGCCTTGCTGGGTTGAAAATATCAATTGCCGGCCTACTTTTGAAGGGTGCCCGCGAGTGATTAAAGATTGCGCTACCATTCTTCGAAACAAAAGACTTTTCATTTTGGTCCCGGTAATTTTATTGAATGCAATAAATGAGTTATATAATACTCTTTCAATTAAACCAAAAAAGATCCGATGCCACCATTTTTTGGACTTCCGTGATAACCCATATGAAGAAATCAACTGATCTGCCATGTTATTGTCACCCATAAAGGTATTGTAATCTTTTACGGAATAAAAGGGCAATTAAAATCTTTTCTTGTTCCATCTTTCTGTGTTCTTAAAAAAGTTGCATGTTCTGTTCCATGAAAATTAGACAATATGGTCACATATTTGTTATCTTTCCATTTGTAAAATACCAATCCTCCAGCAGAAACCCGATAGTCAAAGTCACCTCTTTGAAGCATTTTATCACTTTTTAAGTTTTTTAGCAAGTATTTCCTGTCTAAACGTATTGTTCCACAACAATAGACTTTATGTTGTAATAGGTATTCCATTAATGGAACAGTGGTAAAATAGTTGTCAAAATAAACCTGATGATGTTTTCCGTATAAAAGCTTTGTTAGTTGGTACATAACAGATGCACCTAATCCAAAATGCTTGGGCATTAAATCATCACTGTGAACTTTGTTTTTACCTTGATAAACTTGGCAATGATACATATATCCATTTATGTCAGCAATGGCCCACAATTTAAAACCCCGTTTTATAGCTTTCATTGGATTATATTGTTTTAAACTGCTCCGACCTTTGAAGAGAATCATACTTTCATCTATACTAACACGTTGAGATACATTGTATAGCTTAACAAAGTTTGAGTTTAGTTGATTAATCAATGGTCTTGGTTTGTACAACTTGTCTTTATTATTATTTGGTTCAGCAGCATTATCATTGACATGAATATTGCTTAGAATTTAAGCAATTTCTTGGAGGAGCGCTTGATGCAAATGGTACTGACAAGTTAGGCTCGCAACTCCAATAATCCGTCCATGATGGTAATTCATGATAACCCATTATAATATTGATTTTTAAAAAAGAAAAAAACCCCAATGAAACATTTAGAACAGCCTTCATGCTTTGCGTTATATATAGATTGGTTTGATAAAGTATGTTCTGTTGTATTTCATTGTCAAAATAAGAAAAAAAATAATCAATAGAATTTTGACAATCAGAAAAATGGTCTTTGACCGGACCTTCATGAGATGAAAATAGAGTTTCAATTTGGTTATTAGTCTTTTTAGTCCATTTACGATCTTGTTCAACATTATAATCCTCTTGGTCAATGCTGATGTCTTCCATGGTACTTTCTGAATCGTTGGAGATTTCTGATTCATTTTCGACAGGTTCCAGTAATTTTAGAGCATCTGGTATAAATTTATCTTCAGAATCACTTCCCTATCCTCACTAAAATCACTAGGCATTTCCTCTATAATGTAGTGAGCAGCTTCTTGGGGTGTAAATAACTTTTTATTTGACATTTTTTATTGAACTAATAAAAAAGTATGAAAGAAATACAATATAATTATAAAATAACGAATAAAGATTAATATTTTTTGGTCAATTTTGAATCAGTAACACCTGACGGGACATATAAGTCCCACAACAAAAGTTACAAAAATATCACATAAAAATGCAATAAAAACTCATCAAAGCAACATAAGTACTTAATTACTATAATAAACATCAACTAAAAAAAGTCCCAATGCACAATCATATTAAAGGTCAAAGATATAATACTTTCAAGTCAAGAAAAAAATCTATTAGAACTACAAGCTTTAGTAGACATTGTAAACAAAAATATGTGCTTTTGAGCAATGACTTTAATGAAATTTTTTTATATCAAGATATTAGAAGGTATATCTTTTAATTTCTATAAATAAATATCAATGACTTACATTCTTATTGCAAAATATAGCCACTAATTTCCAGCGGGACTAATAAGTCCCGTTGGTAAACAAAGTGATAATGGTTTTATTTTTATTTTTTTTTTGTAATTTTTGTAACATTAGGATTCTTAAACAGCATTTATCTTTTGTTAAATTGCTTTTTAATTTCTTATTTGCTTGTAGTATGGTTCATATTATTTTACTTTTTTGTTATCATTTTAAGCTATATTATTATATAATTACAGTTTCTAGTTTGTTTTAAATTGGTCATACAACAAATTATTAGCATTTTCATATAAGTATTTAGTTTAATAAGTGACTTATTACACAAAATTCTAGATTAATATTTCACTCTAGATATATTATTTCCATTTTAAATTTATAATTAATTTTTAGATTTCTTAAACTTAAAAAATTGTAATGTCAAAACGATCTGAAGTTTGGAATCATTTTAAGAGAAATGAAAAAAATAAGGATATTGCTCTCTGTAAGCATTGCAGTAAACAACTAGGATGTAAAGGATCATCTACAACACCACTTCTTAATCATTTAAAAATTCATAAGATTCTCTTAAATTCCTCTAGCCTATTTACTGCTACTAAAAATTCATTAGAGATAAATTGCGAACAAAGTGAACCATCGACATCAAAAAAGTTTAAAAGTACTTATGCTGATAATAGTATAAAAAAGTTTGTTAAAACTAAAACATTGGAGGAAATTGTGTAGCAGAGGATGGTTTCTCAATGAATTCTATAGTGAATATATATAAATCACAAGCCATTATTGGGTGCATTAAAAGTAAAGGATTTGACATGCCTAAAAGTCTTACTACTGTAACAAAGCGCATTATAAAGTTTTATGAAATAAAAAAAAAAAGAAACAGTATTATCAAGGATCTAAAGGGAAAAAATGTTAAATTCTCACTAACAGTAGATAAGTGGACTGATAACTCTATGAATAGATATCTTAATGTTACACTTCATGCCCTTGTTGATAACTTAATGAAAAAATTTGAAGTGTATGTATTGGGGTTAGTTCGCACAAAAAGTACATTTAATGCTGAACAAACAAAACTATGTTGAAAGTTAAAAGAATTTGAAATTGACATTAAGTCAGATATAATATCATCAACACATCATGGAGCAGCCTTTATGGTCAAGTATGGAAGGCTATTAGGCATCATATCTCAACTTTGTTATAACCACCTTGAACTTAAATAGTTTTGGAGATGCTAACATAATCTGCGAGTTAGAGAAAAACATTAAAATCATAGATTTCATTGAAGATTTTTTAAGAAGTTATACAAAATGTCAGAAGAATCATAAAAATGATACAATTCTCTTCAGTAAAAAACAACATGTTACAAGGATATGTTAATGAACAAGCAGGCATGACATTGCAGTTGATGTTAGATGTCAAAACTCGGTGGAATTCATTGATAGCCATGTTCAAACGATTCCTTCAAATAAAGGATCCTATAAATAAAACTTTAAATGAATTAGGGCAATAAAAGATTTCAGAGGAGAACGTAGCAACTTTAGAAGAACTATTAAATGTCTTATTGCCGATAGAAACTGCAATAAAGGAATTGAGTAATAATTCTGCAACTCTTTTGACCGTTGAAAGTATTTATAAATTTATATTTGAAAACTTAATACATTTTAAAAGTAATATTCTACATTCTACTAAATTTTTTGAATATACTTCAAAAGCTGCCACTATTGCTTTAGCAGTAGAAATATTTAAAAGGATTCATACATCTAGTGGTGACAACAGCAGTACTGAGAACAATGAGGTCAAGGAAATTGCAAAAGAAATAGCAAGTGAAAGTATGCCTAAAAGTCAAAGTGCTAATAATATAATGCAGTAAAAGCTAAAAGCAGCTATTTCCTCAGTTACCCATGCAGAAAAGCAAAGCAGCACAAATACTTCATTGTTGAAAAATGATTTTATGTTTTTAACAACCACTAAAACAAGAACAAATATCGATATCCGGATAGTCATTAATATCGGATAATTGGAAACCCACCAAAGTTATTCTACTGAAATTGATGCTATTCAAAAAGTTCAATTCAAATAATTTTATAAAAACAGATTCTCAAAGAGGATAAAAAATACTGTCTGAAAAATATAAATGTTTTATAAATAAAGCAAATTCGCAAGAGTTTAAGATAAATCTTTTGTCACTGTATCGCTTAAGAAAAAACACAAATTTTGTTTTTTGCAAGTTTACTGATGTATTTTGGTACTTTTAATGCATTTTGGTTATTAAATTTTTTTTACAATAATAAAGAACAATAATTAAAATGTTTTATTAAAGAATTTTTTTGAAAAAACTTTTTTTTTAGCTGAGATATAAGACTTCAGGCATAACTGTCCCGTTATGCACCGCTGTCCCTATATGCCCTGCTCTACCTTATATACCAATTGTGTGGCGCATAGATGAGAACTTTCTGTGTTAGACTCAATAAAGTTTTATTTAAAAAAGTTTGATGACAACATCAATAGTTTGTTTCGTTTTTGACTTTTATTGTAGCGAAGAACTGAAAGAAAAGAAAAAATCTTTGAAGAAAGAAATCGAAAAGAAAGATTCTTTTTTAGATAAAGAGTTTAAACAGCTTGGGAGATTGAAGAATATTCGTTGGTTAGCTAAGAAAGAGCATTGAGATTGCTTGAAACTGACTATAAAGTTATTTATACTTTAGAAAGCAAAGCAAATGAGAAAGACAAAACTGCAGAGAAACTAAAGGATTTTTGCATTTCATGAAAGATCCACAGTTTTTATTTTATTCAAGATATCACTTTCAACATTATCATTTGAATTTCAAAAAGAAGAAATTTTTATTTGTGAGATTTTGCTTAAAGTTGTAAAGTACTAGATGCGTTATCAGTTAAACTATGATCGAATATTGGGCGTTAAAAGTAAAAGAACATCAGTTAATCTGCAAAGGTTTTGATTTAACAGTGTTAAAAAAGCGTAAAGAGAATTGACAACATTAAAATTGTTAAACAACAACCTAAAGATTATTTTGATTATTATAACAAAAAATATTTTATTAAAATCATTGACAGAGCAAAAGAATATACAGAAAAACAATACCATTGCAATTTCAATCAAGAGCCATTAAAACTCTTAACAACAATCTTTGATTGTCGAAACTGGCCAAAATCATTTACAGGTTCACTACAGACAAAAAAATGTGGATTTAATAAAATAAAAAGTGTTTGCAACTTTAATAAGCATAATATGATAAGCTTAGAAACTTCTAAATTATGTGTATTGCAATGGCATTTATTCAGGGAGAAAGTTGCTATATTAAGGACAAATTCACTGTTGAGCATTTACAGAGATATCTTGCTGGAAAATGAACCTGAATTGGTTGTGAACCCAGTTTTTCTTGTATGAACTTACAAAAAAATGTTTTGCAAACTACATTAAATGACAATACCTTGAAATATATTATGCATATAAAGCTTGATGGCCAGTTAATTGAAGATTTTTTGCCCAAAAAATATGTCAAAAGTTGGATTAATGCAGCGATTAATGGAAGGCCATAAATCAAAAAGTTTTGGCAAATCTTAAATGCATTTATATAAATATATAAATAAATATCTTTTATTTATATATTTATATAAAAGTTTCTTTTATTTTAATTTCTTTAAGTATACATTTTTTTTTTAATAGTAGATAATTTCAACGAACTAAATTGAGAAAATTCACTGTTTTGTATCATTGGATAACAGTTTACAATAATTGCATATAAATAATTATTAATTTGTGTGTACTTTGTAAATGTGTGAAAAAATGTTTTGAAATATAAAAAACTGATTAAATTCCATAAGCATCTTTGTTATATAACTTATTAACTAGAATAAAAAGTTTTGAAAATAAAACTCCCTTATTTGACATGCTTCTTTTAAATTAGACGTTCGTCAATAATTGAAGATACGAACGTCAATGTTTATTAAAAAAAACTATTTGTTGCGTCCTATATATATATATATATATATATATATATATATATATATATATATATATATATATATATATATATATATATATATATATATATATATATATATATATATATACAAACATAAATACATTTAAAATATTTAATATATATTTTGTGTTAATTTAGAACTTTGAAAATATTCCAAATACACTTACCGGTCCTTGGTGGTAATTAAACCCTTTAGCTGTTTTGTAATCATTATTATCAAAATCATTATTGTAACACCCATTATAGTTCCAATCTCTATAAAAATAATTTTTCATTAAAAACTAATTTTTGAAAAAAATTAACTTGAAATATAAAAACTTTATTCTTACTCTGGGTCAAGTGTAGCCAGACCCAATGGACCAAGTAGATATTGTTCAACCTTTTTAAGTGCAACATCAACATGATCAGGTTTGAATAAAGAGGAAGACTACATCAAATAACAGATATATATATATATATATATATATATATATATATATATATATATATATATATATATATATATATATATATATATATATATATATATATATATATAACTTAGTTTTATATTCCTTTCCACTACAAATAAAGTTTAAATTTATAGATTTAAATATAACAAAAAAAATAATAATTTAAATAACGTTGTATTAGTGCTTTAAGTTTGTATTAGTGATTAATTTAAATTTCGAAATTAATCTGTCCTAAATTATATACCAATATATTTTTAGATAAGTTTTTATTTTAAAATTTACTGGACTTAAAATAAAAGTATATGCTATTATATTTTTAGGAAAATTTTGATTTTAAAATATACCTGCCTTAAAATTAAAACTATTTACCAATAAAATTAAAAAATTATTCTTTGAAATTAATAAAATAAAAAATAAAAATAATAAAATAAAATGAATTATTTTAGGTTTTGACTTCAAAATTTAACGTTAAACTAACATTTACATCTTATAATAACTTTTATTATTTTTATTTTCAAATTAAAATGTAAATAAAAAAATAAAATAACTTACAGAACAAATAGCAATAGGAAAATTTGGACGAAGTTGAAAATCAGTATAAACAAGCGATGAAAAAACAGTATCCTTATAAATTTCTCTTTTATGAATCATGCTTTCAGTTGAATCTTTTTGTATAAAAAACTTTTCTTCAAAATTATTTTGAATTTTATCACGCCATTCCTTGTAGCTCCAAACTGTTTCACCTAAATCATAAAGTACTTTATTTTAAAAAAAAAATATTTTACTCAATAAGAAACACTTATACATTGTCATTTAAAATTTTCTATATAATAAATTAATACTTTCTTTTAAAAACTTACCCAAGGGATTGGATTTCCGTACCACACTGTAATCATAGAAACTCCTTTCATTCATTTCAACCAACCAACTTAAAGCCAAGTGAGATAAAGCTACAATTTCAATAGCGCTTCCATCCCTAAAATCCCCCCAAAAAAAACTAAAACTGCATTGTGGATTGTGAGGTATTTTATCATTTTTATGAAACTCAAAACAAAACAATACTTAGTTTTAGTCAAGTTTAGTTTATTTACTTTTAAGCATTTAAATTTCTTTAAACTTAAAGATAAATTTTGGTTTTTCAGAATGAACAGTGTAATGAGCAAAACAAGGTATACACTTAATTGCCCTCAGAATTTGGCTCAACATTTCACAATTCTGACCTTAAAGTGCCTGAGGTGGGCAAGTTTTTGTTAACCTCAATTCTATGTTGTTATAGTGAAAACTTTGTATTATAAACTTTTTACCAATCTGGTGCCAAGTCAGCAGTTTATTGCCTAATATTTGTGGCTAACACCACAAATTTCAAAACCAAGACCTATATCTTAAGGCTTAAAAAATAAAACTATCCCAAAAAATTTCTAATTCTTTTTCGAAAAAAAAAGTGTCTGGAATTAAGTACACAAAATATATTAAAGCTCCACAGATCTTATTAAAAAATATTACAAGTACATTTCACATAAAATAGTAGTAGTAGTAGTAGTAGTAGTAGTAGTAGTAGTAGTAGTAGTAGTAGTAGTAGTAGTACTAGTAGTAGTAGTAGTAGTAGTAGTAGTAGCAGTAGTTTAAAATTTTATAGTTTATAAAAACTTTGCATATTAGAATTCTAGGGAAAGGAGGGGGTTGCGGTCAAGGGAGTTATGTTACACAAACCAGACTTTTACGATTGACATTTTTCTTCAGAAAAATGTCAATCGTAATTGGACTAGCACTGTTCTTCTTTTCACCGATTCAATTTTTAGTTCCAATTTTTATTCAGCTCATGTTAAAATAGTTTTAGTATTTGTTTATTGCTAACTATTGCTAATGAATCAATGCATAAACATATGAATGAATAACTAAAATCTGTCAGTAGTAAAAGACTTGAAGAGTTTAAGAGAATTTTTTGAGGACTTTGAGAGATTAAATACTTAAAACTCTCTCAGTAATTTTAAGTATTTAATCTCAGGATTATTTTTGACTAAAGACACTTTGTCATATTAGCATTCTGTAAAATCTTTATTTATCAATAATTATTAAAAATAACTAAAACAAAGCAACTAAAACAGATAACCATCTATATATAAATATTTGATTATAACTTTACCTTGGAGTAGCTGGAACACCATGATTTCCTGCACATTTAGAACTTCCCATTTTATCCATCCAAGTTCCACAATTATATTTGCTTCCTCCATATACAAAACCAGTAGATTCATCAACTCCAATACCAAGTATAAAACCATCATCTGACATATGCTCATCAAGTTCTATTCCAGCATTACGTTCAGTAAAACAAACTCCTTCAAAATGCCGCTGAAATATTTCATGGATCACATCTTGCAACGGCTGCATCTAAAATCAAAATAACACAATTTAACAGTAGCTGTCTAAAAGTACCATATAGTTTAACAATAACATATAATTTAACAGCAAGGAAAAGGTAGCTAAGAAAAGGTAAACAGCAAGGAAAAGGTAGCTGTCTAATTGTACATGATGTTCCCAAAGAAAATCATAAACAAAAAAAAAAAAAGTTACATGTGAGCATTGAGGCTCTGAATCATCAGTTGGATACATCCTCTGTACAGGAGCATGGAGAAATTGAACACTTTCGTCACTCATTTGTACATAATCTTTTACAGCTTTTAACCAAAACCATGTGGCATCACGAGCATTATACCTTGCATGTGTCCCACCAGATAATAAATTAGGTATTAGACCATGTCTTAAAGCACCACCAAAAGCAAGGATCAATGTTCTAACATTAACAAAATCATTTGTTGACTATAGATATTTATAAATATTTAAGCCATTTGTTGTTTCAAAAATAAAAAATATTATCTACAACAAAAGTTAACCATGCCATAATATTATTCAAATTAAGTATACAATGTATTTAATATGTGTACATAAATATGTGAACATAAACGTGTACATAAATGTGTACATAAATATGTGTGCATAAATATGCGGGCATAAATATGTGTACATAAATATGCGGGCATAAATATGTGTACATAAATATGTGTATGTAAATATGTTTACATAAATATGTGTACATAAATATATGTACATAAAACAAGAATACAACTAATTACATACAAGTAGTTAAAAAAAAATTGAACTTTTTTTTGAACACAAATTCAAGTTTGTTTAACTTAAGTTTTTAAAGGTATGACAGTTATTATTTTCTTACATCTATTTTTGTTAAACAACCATAATGCTCTTTTCAAATATTTTCAGGATTAATGGATATCTGATGGATATATTAATGGATTCAGAATGTAAAGAAAACTAGTAAATCTAAATTGGTCATGCAGATGGAAAGATGCATCATTTGCATCAATAAATTTTTTGTTATATCTCTTATGTTGTTATCTTATGCTGTTATCTAACTCTTTTCTTAAAGAGAATAATTAAAAAGTTAAATTAAATTCTAATAAAGTTTTTTCAGTTGCCGTCTCTATCTTTATCAATAGCTCAAGCATTATTAGTTCAGCAAGTTTTTACATGGTTCCAAGTTCCAGCAAGTTTTTTCATCAAGATGAAATTCAACTTTTTTTGAGCCTAGACTTTTGATCAAAAAACCTGATTTCGAACACTTGCCAGTGTGATTTATTTTATTTTTTTGATTTTATTTTAGGTCAAGAAGCCCTTACAGTCTTATCACAAAGCACCACAGAAGAGCATTTGAAAGAAAGTTCACACCACCTTCTTAACCAATATTATAAAACCTAGCAAAAGTCTCAATCCATCTTGACCTATTGACTGGCTGATGTATTTATTTCTGGTTATGCTCGAATTGAAATACTATGTGTAGCCAAATCAGAGACAACATTTTTATGATTCCTTTGCACAAGAAGTTCCCAACTTCATTGAAGTAACATTTTTTGTCTCTTCTCACTTGCTCTCTCATCTGTTAATATGATAGTACAGTTGCCTTATTTAAACAAGTTGAGTGACTTTTTAAGTGATTTTTTAATGTAGTTATTTTCTAAGCTTTTCATTATTTTGTTACCATACTGATACTGTCTTTCTAACACTTTTGCAATTTGATTTTTCCGTTTGTTGCGTATGTTCAGACTGATAAGAATAAGAATTGAAAATAAAGATATCTTTTTTTTCAATCACCAAAAAATGCTCATCCAATTCTTGGATTACCTCAAGGTACAAAAATTTATTTAAAAAAATTACATAATCATAAAAATCAAAATATCATTTAAAACAAAGAAGTTTTTGAAAATATAAAATGTGGTTAAATTTTTATAGTTCCGATTAGGAAATAGCTAAAAATGTTATAAAATTTTTTAAAATTAAACAGCCAAGAAAATTTGATCACATTGATACCTAACTGCTATTTTTTTTGCATTTCTAACTTAGCTATCAATTTTCACTTTTTCACACATTTATCATTTTTAACTATCTATATAAATATTTATAAGTAATGAATACTTCCCGTACACTTGTACATTTGATATACAATTGGAGTAAGCTGCAGGAAAGCACTGTTCAAGTTACTAGGTAACAAAAGTTTTTAAGTAACAAAAAAGATAATTAAAGAACAAGAAAATGGGTGAACAAAAACTTGAAAAAAAAGTTAAAATCACTGTTTGTAAAAAAAAGTCCAAAGCACTTATGTTTGTGAAAAATATTTGTCTATGTTGACATGTTGTTTGAAATGTTGGCTGTCAGTAAGGCTGTCAAAAAATCGCAAAAATGCTTTCTTAGGTACCCGTCAAACAAAAGGGCGGGTACCTGTTAAAAAACAATTTTTTTTTTGAAAGTTGTACTTATAAAAAAGAAAAAACAATAAAATCAATGATGCCATTCATTTAAAGTTTCCCTTTATTCTAAACTTTATTTTACATGTCCAAAACATTCTCCTTCGGTAAGTACGCACAGTGGGCCCAGAAGGTAAAGTTTTGGAAATATGATCATAACTAATGGTTAAGAAATCCTAGAAAATTCATTGAGGATTTTTTAGAAAAATATTTTTTTGCTTGTTATAAGAAAATTTAAATTTTTAATATTAAACTAAATTTGTGGACTGGGTTCAAATTACCATATCTGGTCATTTTTGATAAATAAGTATATTTTGATAAATACTCAAAGTTGAATTTTTTTTAGATGACAATTAAAAAACTAATTTATTAAATTACTTAAAGAAAAGAAAATTCAAAAATTTGAATAATATAAGGGTCTGGTTTCTACTGTTCTATTAATAAGAAGTTTGGTATTTAAAAACAAGTATTCTGTCAAATTTGGATTAAAAATAATGTTAGTATAACAACATTATAAGGAGTTCTAATTTTTTTTTTATTTTTTTTTATTTTAATTCACCTCCTTAAGGCCGAGAAGGCCACTACAGACAAGGAGGCTACTTATTTGTGGTTATAACCCTCTCTCAACTCTATAACTCCGAAACACGAACCTTGACGAGCAAGGCCGCTGCGCGGAGAAGCGAGTTGAGCGCGGTACTACCAGGGATGTGGTGGGGATCGAACTCGGAACCACTCGTTTATGAAGCGAGCGCTCTACCACTACACCACTACCGCATAAATTATTTGAACTTTGAACATTTGAAGTTAAGAACTCTAATGATTTAAACTTGCAACAAATATTTGAAGATAAAAAGTTAAAATAGTAAAAAATATTAATAACTTTATAATTAATCATAAATAAGGTTTTCAAACATATCAACAAACAATCAATCAGAAATCCATCACTAACTCTCCTAATATCTGTCCATTCAGTAGTTTTTGTTTTGCAAAGTATACAATCTGCACATCCTTGTCCACTGATGAGTTGTTTAAACTTTAAATCCTTCATTGTATCTTGAATATAAAATTTGACATTGATAAAAAATTTTCAGAATAGACAACACATTCCTTCAGCATTTAACTCTTCTCATGCGTTATCAGTAGTTGGGACAATAAAATCTAGCAAATCTTGATTAGTTTCTGTTTCTCTTATCAAAAACACTGGACGTAATGATCTAGATGCATTTGGTGAATAATTTTGCCACAGGGATTTATCAATGGATTCATCAATGCTAAAAATATCTGTTGTTTCCATATGGTTTGTAAAAATAGCATTTCCAACATGAGGAATACTTTTATTATTGTTTGTGTTAATTATATGTAAGTGGTAACCCAATAACTGGTTAATATGCAACTCTGGGCACTCATTAGTGATAAAGTTGTTTATATAATTGAGAAGTTCCTATGTTCTCTCCTTTTTCATCTTATCACCCATATCTGTAAAAAATTTTCTTCGTTTTGAAAAACATGGTTCTGTTATGTAAGCATCCTCTACTTCATAAATATATCTTTAGATGCTTGTAAAAGTATAAATGCATATTGATTTTTCTTAAAATGTTTCTCTTTCAGGCGTTTATAACACTTCCGTGTTTTTTCACAAACATTATCAAACTCCAGTGAATTAAGTGATAGTTCAAAATTTTTATAAAGTATTTCTTTAATGGTTGAATATGTTACTGAATTTGACTTGACAGTTTTGTCAGCTTTAATAAATTGTGTGAATAAATCTATTTTTTTGATGTATTTTACATTTTTATTTTCCTCCATTACATTTATTATTTATTCAGCTTTACTTCTGCTGAAACAAACACAAAATCATATTAAATAATCAAATAAAAATATAAAATTTTCATATTTGTAACCAAAAATAAAATATTCATATATTTTAAGAAAATAATAATAATCACTGTTCAACTTTTTAAAATCATGTAAATAAAAAAAGTGCTAACTTGCCTCATTTTCCTCTTAAAATATTTGAAAAGAAGAAATGTTAAATATTTTCAAAATGTATGACACAGTAGAGGCAAGTTAGCACTTTTGAAAAAATGTAAGATTTAATCTGACTTTTTGTATAAAACAACAACATAAATTTATAACATACTACATAATTAAGTTTTAAAAGCTTTGAAAAAAAAAATTAAAAAAAAAACACAAATTTTAATTTATTTATTCAAAAATATATTCCATATTAAAACAAAAACAACTTTTACATAAGTGGTTTATCAATTTTCATGTCGGTAAATTTATTTTGAATGGAGAAACTAACCGAATTTACTAAACTTTTATGGATATATAAAAAAATTGGAAATTCATCAACTTCAAGGTTGCATATCATCACTTAGAAATTAGCTAGAAACATAGTTTTTTTTTATTTATCCACAAATTTATCTGACTTTCTGAACAAATAATTTTTATAAACTTTCTCAAACAAATATTTTTTGCCTATTTCCACCTGGTTCTAAATGATCTCATGCTCGCTTTGGCATTGGTTCTTCCAATACTGTCATAACAACAGCTTCTATTTCAGCTCTAATGGCAGAGCGGATAAACCCATGATAACAAAGGATGTTTCTGACCAGATAACATAGTTGCTACCTGCTTTAATGGTTTCAGAATGGGTATAATGGCTTGTGCAAGCAACCAGTTTTCATCCGCCATTTGTAGGGTTGACGCATTTCTTTTTGTTGTAAAATTTTGGTCAGACAGCACGGTTCCAATCACCCAATGTAGCTTCACTAATTGCTCTAAAATGGAATTCCATAAAGTATAGCAGTCTATGATGACTTCCAATGTGTTTTCATCATCCTTAGATCTCAATGCTGCTTGTTTGTAAAACAATTTCTGCATTGCTAACGTACTTCGCTTGAAGTGTGCCACCAATTGCTAGTTCCCTTTCTTTCGTCATTTTAGGCTGCGAAGCTGTAAAGAAAGTCAAAATGTTTGGTGTGCCCAAACTGCCGATGCCATCAATATCTATATGATGTGTTCCAGTAAGATAGTGTCAGATAGCGCTTGTGTTGCCACCTTTCACTGTCAAAATCGCCTCACATTGCTTGTGATAAAAGAAATAGGTAAAGTATTAAAATTGTGACCACAATTTTAATACTTTACCCATTTCTTTTTTCTATAAAATTAGTGTTTTAAAATGTTTTTAAAACTTAATTGATATGTTTTTAAAAGTAAAGCCCCAGAGGCTATGCGTGAATCGCGCTTGGGCCTATCGGTATTTATCCTAAAAGGGCCTTTTTTTGAATTTTTATACCCTTTACTACATTCTGAAAATGATTCACAAATGATATTTATTTTGCTTTATTTTTTATTCCACAAGTTAAGTTCTTTAAGAAATCTCTGATACGAACTGTTGGACTTCAAGCGCATATATATTATTATTTTGCATAATAAAATGCAACCCATTGTAACTTTTGCCTCAAAACAAAGTCAATATTGAAAAAAATAATTGATTGTTTTGTCATTTAATAAAAAAAGTAGATAAATAAAAAAAAATTGCTTATTATATTAGTCGTTATATAGATAAAATTATTTAAGTTAGCCAATGATTATTATGAGAAATAATTGTATTCAATTTTTAATTATGGAAAAATATTCATATTGATAAATTTTTTGTTAAACTATAACGAATAATTGTTTTTCATTTACAAAAATTGTAATGTTTTAAAATATAAATAATTTGTGTGAGTTTTTATAAAATTTCTCTTATTGTATATTTTACAGATATTTAAAAAGTAGTTAAATATTTTTTCTATATATACAAATAATAAACAAATAAAACATTTTATTTCTATTTGAAAGTATTCCGGATTCATTCATTTCAGGGACCGCAAATAGGTTGAAACTAATATTTAACATTATAAACTTTAGTAACTGCTTTTTTTTTCAAGGAACATAGTTGTAAAAACTTCTTTTTACAAAATTTTTTTTTTTCGAAAAACCTTTTTAATAAGAAACTGAAAACATTTTATATATAATTTGCTTAACTGAAACTTGGGTTTTTTTGAAAGATCTTTGGGATAATTCTACTCTCAATTTTCTAGGTTTTCATAAAATTTTGTCCTAACGACATACTAATAAACAAGTTGGAGGAGTTCTGTTTTACGTAAAAGAAAACATAGTACATAAAGTTAAAAATAAAAGGTGGGTTTCCAAATCAAAAACTCAAATAACTTACCGAACATTTTTGTTCAGAAACAATAGGAACTGTTTCTTCAAGATCTTATTTTAAATAACAATTTAATTTTGTTAAATTGTTTTATTTCAATTAATGATTGAAAATTAAAAAAAAATTAGAATTGATAATTTGTAAATTGAAACATTTTGTTTTTTTGAATGAACAACAGTTACCCATCATTTGATAATGCTGCCCGGGCAGTAACCAATGGGCAGGTACCTGGTTTCCCAGGTACCTGTTGACAGCCTTAGCTGTCAGCCTACAAACTATTTTACAAAATTTTTTTTTATTTGTGCATGAATATTAATGTAAATATAACATATTTATAATATTAATAAAATATAACATTTGAATATTTTTTGTGTAATTAAGTTATGCACTTAATTTTTAGTAAAAAATAACCAGACTTTGTTTTTTTTTCCCTAAAAAAATCCTGTTAGCAATGTTTAATTTATTTAAAGATGGTATATGTATATATATATATAATTTTAAAAAATAAATTATTAATTTTTTGTATATTCTAATTTTATAAATTAAGTAAGTTTTTGAAATACCTAGCAAGCTGAAACCTTCCAGTAATAAGAAGCAGGCCACGTATTGAAACAAACGTATCTCTTCCCCAACAACGCATGAAACCAGAAGAAAAATGAGGCAATCCAGCTGCCATTGTTATTTTTAGATTATCACAAAATGGTACTGGTGGTAAAATTGACTGGTCCTCTATACCACACATTTGAACTGACCCAAGTGCAAGATTTTTAACCATGACAGATCCTCCTCTTACAAATCTAATTAGGAAAAAAGAAAATCTCAACTGTTGAATTCTTGAACATCAAAATTCAGTAACACTATAAAATAAAACAAAACAAGTTATTGTGTTAAGTTAATAAAACTCAAAAGATCTTTTTAAAAAAAAAAAACATACACAGACATCTTCTCAAAGATGCTATTCAAACATGCTTCATATGCAAAAGAAACTATTGCTTCAAAATATGAGGGAACCAGATATCGCGGTAGACACTTCAAACAATGTAACAACCCTTCAAACCATTCCCCCAGACATTTTGTTTTTTCATTATTGTTTAATCTCCTGATAATATATTCAATCAACCAATCACCTTGACGAAGATTCTTGCATAATGGATGACCAAGGTCATTATTTAGCCTTACTTTTCTTAGCAGAGAAAAAATACCTGAAAGTAATACAACAATTAGTTTTCAGAAACTGAGCAACTGTACCAATTTACTAAACAAAATATAAATTGTCTAATACAATTTAAAATTTGTTTAGTTGCATATGCCACAAACAGAGGAGGAAATAAATAAATTATGCCATGTAAAGTAAGGGAATAAATAAACTCAATATCCAATTACATCCTTATATTCAATTAAAAAAAGGAGAAATAAGAAATCACTTCTTTAGTTCTTTAATTTTTGAGTTACTAAAAAAATGAAAGGGTCTTGAAAAAAATATAAAAATTTTAAATGGAAAGTTTTTCTCAAATATAAGCAATTGGAATGTAGAAGAAAAGCTTATTTTTTTTGAGTGCAAGTAGCAAGTAGTCTCAAAATTGATGCTATTGGAAGTGAAGGAATAAACAAAAATCATACACCAGACACATTTAAAATATTTCTACAAATATGGTGTTTATATTATTCCTTCATGAAGCACTCATTAGGGTGTTCCATTTTAAACTTTTTTTTGAAATTTTAATCTGGATTGTTACCAGTAATAACATTTTAAAATTGCTAAATACAAAATATTTAGGATGATTTTTAGATGCCCCACCAAAATATTGGAAGTTAGAAAAACTGATTGTGGAAGTGTTGTGCAACTTTTTTATCCACTATTTGTTATTGTTACTAAGTGGGGTTTACTTAATTTAATTAATGATCATTAAAAAATAATTAAACAAAAATTTATTAGTTTACAACTATTTGTACATATCCCACAAAAGATTTATTAAAATATTAATAAATATACAATTAATAACGTTACTGAAATGTTATTTTTTTGTTTGTTGAAAACTTTTTTCTTTAAATCATATGCTCCTTTAAAGCTTTTTTGATGCTTTTCCACACTTTGAGCAAGTTATTCTCTCTCTACTGGATCAAAACATTTGCCTTTGATGTCTCCTATAAGCTTAATACCACATTCTGCAATATCATTGAGACAAAAAGATTGTATACAAATTTTTTTGCAGCGCTCAAGTCCTCAAACTTGTTTCAATGTTCTAATGGAACATTAAACCATTCTTGGGGTCTGTATAATTTTAATAGATGAAAAAGCAACCATGACTTTTCGCCAATGAAAAATGATAAAAAAGGTTATTCTTCGTCACACCATATAATAATCAGAGGCTTTGATTTATAAGGAGTGAATACTTTAGGACTTCATTTCTGGAATACTGTAGGGTTTGATTTATAAGTAGTGAATACTTTAGGGCTTAGGTTTCTGACCCATCAGTCTTTTCTGCATAACTCACAGAGCCGTCAAACAAAGAAAAGACAACTAGCTCCTCATATAAGTATCCCAAGTGCCATTCAAAAGATTTGATGGTTTCTTTTGCACTTTCAAGGTCGATTGATTGAATTCGATTTATGTTTCCTCATTAAATAAAAGAAATGCAGGTTGTTAGCTGGAGCAGCTGCAGTAATAGCAGATTGAAGAAAGTACTTTCCTTAAAAAATTTCCTTGCAATGAGTCTTGTTGACTCCAGCTAACTAGATAATTTGCAATGAGTTTTGTTGACTCCAGCTAACTTGATGATTTGCAATGAGTCTTGTTTCTTTTCTAGAATTGTTTTCTCTTTCAAAAAGATATTTCTGCAACAAAGCTCCATTCAATGGTAGCTTTCCTCCTTTAAATTTTGCTAAGGAAAAATACAAATATACGGTAAAAATAATATAATATATAAATAGCTCTTTCCTTTTAAAGTTTTCTAAGGAAAAACTAACAATCCAATGACTTAAATGAGAAGAACACCTGCTTTTTTTAGCAGCAATATTTTTGTTTATAGCAAGAGCTGGAATATGTATTTAATCTAATAAATATTTTTTTTCCTAATATGAGCACTGTCTCTTTTGCTTCAATAGATACATTACTTCCCAAACTTTTACTAGGTCTACCAACCTTCTTTGGTATAAGCACCATTACTGTGGTTTATTACAAGACTGAAGCTTGTAATATAAACACTGTTAGTAATTGTATAGTTAGATATATACTTGGCAACATTAAAAGGATATAGAGTAGGGTTTATTGAAAACTTTATATATTAAACTTATTAAAATTGCAGCATGTTTTTAAGAACTATTGGTTACAGAACTTGTTGAAGAGAATTAAAAACTTAAGACTTAATGACTTCCTAAAATGCAATTTCACAATACTAAATTTATTTATTTGCCTAAAGAGAATTAAAAACTTAAGACATAAGGTTTATTTTACTTTATAAACTAAACTTATTAACGCAGCATGTTTTTAAGGACTATTGTTGCCTCAAGACAATTAAAAACTTAAAGACTAATGACTTCTTTAAATGCAATTTCACAATCTTAAATTTATAATGGAACAAAAGTATTGAGATTATAATGTTTGAAAAGTGTTGGAACAAGAGAAAAAAAACTGAATTATGTTACTAAACTGAATTTTTTGTAATGGATTGCATAAAACTTTTGTAATCCATTACTAGAACTTTCAATGTTTTGCGAGAAATCTAAAAATCATTCTAAATTCGAAAATTTTTGGTATTTAGCGTTTTTAAATCAAATGTCATCACTGGTAAAACCCTGGTTAAAATTTCTTCTTTCATTGCTCAGTGACCTTGTTTATTAACGTTTGCGTTTCTGACTCATAAGGAAAGTGTTGCTATTACATTACAGTAGCATCTTAGACTGCAGTACTTAGCTACACCTTCCTTTGGGGAAATGTGTGTATATATGTTTTTTATTTTATTTTGAATTTCATGCTATTTTTTGCTATACAATGTTCTTATTGCATTGGAACAGCCACAAATAGACATAAAGACTATTCCAAAAATTATTCATCATTTATTAAACATAATTTATGTTTAATAAATGATGAATAATGAGTATATATATATATATATATATATATATATACTCATTTGCTAAGTTGATGATAGCCGGATTTAAACTCATAGGATACAACAGTCTATATATATATATATATATATATATATATATATATATATATATATATATATCAGGCTTGGTCGGGAAGCGGGAGCGATCGCTCTCGAATACTGACCACGGAAATTATATTTAGTTGCGTAAAACTGGCCAGGGTTTTTAGTCGTTTTGAGAACATTTAAGTTTATGTACGAAACAAAAAATTTTTGTTTTACGGACATACATGGAAACATAAAAAACTTGAATGTTCTCAAAACATCTTTGAGCGCAAGAATAAAAAGAATATTTGCGAACACTAAAACCCGCCAAATTAACGAACAAACTAATTCTATTGGTTCAAAAAATACGCTGATTAAGCGAAATAAAGTTCTAGAGTATTCTGTTAAAATGTTTTAATTCACGATTTGTTACGATTTGAGATTTCTAGCATAAATTGTTTTAAAAATATTTATTATTTGTTTACAAAAATAAATGTTTTAAATATATATTAAGTTGTCAAAATTTTAAAAGTTTATTATAAATCATAGATTTTATTAGTATATTATTATTTTTTATTTTAAAAGAGATTGTATTCTTTATGTAAATGTAAATTTGTGTATTTGTTTTCTATCATAATGTATCTTTTAAAGCAATTTTCATGATTTAAACAAAGACTTACAAAAATAATTGCGTTTTCAATGAAGTTATAATCGTTAAAGTTAATAAAACTAATTATGTAACAAACATATGAGAAGTTTCTGGTTACTAAACACAAACAACGCATACAAAGTAACTCGCGGATGAACAAGCATCGCGCCTGAGGTCACGACAAAACACAAATATATATAGCAAATAATTAGATTTAAAGAAAAGTTTCTAGATATAGGTTTACTAACTCTAAATATTTTCGCTTAAATTGCCATTCTTAAAACTCGTTATACTTTTTGCTGCTTTAAATACTTATTAAAATTAAAAAGCCCACTCACTAATCAGCACATCAGCGATATTGTGAAGCAGTTTCGCTTCCTGGTCATTAAGTATTTTTAACCTTTTTAGTTGATTTCTATCTTGATAATTTAATTCCTTTAGTAATTCAATGATTTAATTATTTCATTTGTTTATCTTACTAAGAAGAATCGCTTCAAATATGTTAAACTTTTCAAACTACGCAAAACATAAAATAGGTATTAAAAAAATTAACTTTTTTATTTATAAAATAATTTAGATTAAGTAAAACTAAAACTTGCAAACTAAGTTAAATAAAGAATATTTATTTCCCTTTTAAACAATCGTAAGTTGTTACTTTATATAAAAAACATCGCATAATTTTATTTTTTTTGTAATTGTCTCTCATCGGTCCAATTAATCTTCGTCGCTTTTTTTTTTTTGCTTTTTAAAATGTTCTCAAAACGACTAAAAATCTGGCCAGCTTTTCGCAACTAAATATTATTTACGTGGTCAGCAATCGAGAGCAATCGCTCCCGCTTCCCGACCAAGCCTGATATATATATATATATATATAATTTAAGCTCATCAAAGTACTACTCATTTGCTAAGTTGATGATAGCCGGATTTAAACTCATAGGATACAACAGTCTAGGCTTTAATATATATATATATATATATATATATATATATATATATATATATATATATATATATATATATATATATATATATATATATATATATATATATATATATATATATATATAAATATATATATATATATATATATATATATATATATATATATATATATATATATATATATATATATATATATATATATATATATATATATATACATTTGCATGTATATATTTTTATAAAATCTTTAGCTGCTGTTAAAAATGGCCTAAAACATCTGTTTTTTAAATAATTTAACAAGCAAAAACTTGACAAATAAAAACATACAAGTAAAAGGTTTTTTTTTAAATATAAGTCATCCAAAAATCAAAATTATTTTTTTCTTTACAGTGTCTGTATTTAAAATAAATTTAATGGCACTTTAATAATTTAAACGCAATAAAAAAATTGTTAAGTTGCGAATAACTTTTAATCATTGATCTTTTTTAAAGTTTTTATTTTATGCTTTAAATAAAATCAAAAATTAACTATAATGATTGTTTAAAATTAACCTGTAAATTAAATGTTATATTTAAATTTTTATAGTAGATAAGTAATTTTTATAATAAATTTAAACATTTAAAATTATTTTTCCATGTCTTTCTAAAAATCTTTTAAAAGATTATTTTTTAAGTTACTTAAAACTATAAGTTAAATTTTACCATGATTTAATTGCTTTTTTTGTTTATTTCTATTTTAACAAAGAATTATTTAACTTTTTTTTAACTTGACCTACTAATTAAAGCATAAAAGGAATAAAAATTACTTTTTTAAAAAGACTACGTTATTTTTTTAAATATTTTTTTTTCGCAACTTTTAAAAAAAAAAGTTCATACAACTTAAAAGTATTATACTTTTTTCTTTTTAATAAATTAATTTCACTTTTCAATAAAATTTGTTTAATTATTAAACAATTAATAGAAGTAATTTGTAAAAGCGTTTTGCGTAATTTTAATAAAACGTTTTAAAAGATAAGTTTCAAAGTAATTTTTTTACAAATGCAAATAAAAACGTAACAAAAAGTAATTTTTACTTCGAATTTTTTTAGTTTTATTTTTAAGCTAATTTATTTTCTTTTTCGTAAGGAATTGTTCTTTAAACTTATTCTTTAGTTTTTTCAGTTTTTTCCTAGTTTAAGTTTCTTTTTTCAGCGCTTTTCTGAAACGTTTAAATCGTCAAAACATCTAAACAGTCATAGTCAAGTTGTAAACAAAAACAATCATTTGTATGGTGAGCAATAGCGTTCAATTGCACGCCAGCTTTATTTTGTAAAATTTAATTCCTGTCCGTCAAAATGTCCGATTAATTTGTAAATTGATTGGACAATCTGAGGTTTTAGCCGGACAATGTCCAATGTCTGACCATTAAATTGAGCCCTGGTATCATAGGCAACATCTTTAAAATCATTGAATCCTTCCATACCAATATTAGTATAAAAGCTGTCCTTAATGGACAACACTCTTCTTCATTTCCTGTAACTTCAATGGTTCCTCAAGGTTCAATTCTTGGCCCTATCTTCAAATAATGCCCTTTCTCTTTTAGACAAGGTGCAAAAACGCATTATAAACATAGTTGGGCTTGCTCTTACAGCCAACCTTTAACCATTGTCATACCATCATGATGCTTCTCTTTCTCTTTTCTATAAATACTATAATGGGTGCTGTTCTAAAGAGCAAGTGTCTCTTGTGCCATCTACATAAATTCATTCTTGTGTTACGCTTCATTTAATTCATCCTTTTACTCTGACTGTTCTTAAGCTCTCCAAAAATTTTTATTCGTCTAGTTTTTTCTCTCAAACATCAGTTCTTTAAAACTCGCTCACTTCATCTTGTTTTTCTGATTCACATAACTTGCAATATTTTGTTTGTAAACCATTATCTTGCTTTATAAACTTCATCTTTTCTTTTCAAGTAACTTCCAACTCTAATAGTGGTTGCTTGCAGCCTCGTTGGAATTGAAGATGTTAAAAAAAAAATTATATTCAATTTTTTATAGAACCTTACTAAAAACATTTTTTTTTGGTGTTGAACATAGATCTTGTTGCCCAACCGAAGCATAGGTTTTTCTTTGATATACTAACTCGCTTATTTTGAGACTATGATTCACAACATCATTGGAGCAGAGCAGCATTATCAAAACAGAAAAGTATTAAAAAATCATAACAAAGAATTATCATTATAACAATGAAGTGCTTTCTTAACAGAGAAGTGTTACAGAATGTTATTAAAGAATTAAAAGATAGGCCTGCACACCTTTTTTTTTAAGAAACAATTTTTTCAAAAAAGAAGCTTTAAATATATATTGCGGTTGAAAAATGAAAACTTTTTTCCAACAAATACTTTAAAATTCATTTTTCTCAACAGTAATTTCTATTTTTAAATTCATCCTTATTATTCTTGATTATTTAACTTAATTAAACAAATTTTTTTTATAGCAATAATTATGATATATTAATTAAACTTGTAAACCTTGTTAACTTACCTTGTAAACCTGCATAAACTAGTTTTCCATAACCAGGTATATCATAAGTTCCTCCAACACCATTTATTTTTTCTTCATTCTCGCAACGATATAACACATAATTAAAATCAGATAAACTTAAGTCATCAAGAAAATCCAAGCTTTTATTGGTGGGTTCAAGTTGACTCCTAAATTAAGGACAAAATGTTAAAAATACTTATTACTAGAAACTAATTATGAAAACTATTTATTATAAGCAAAATTTTCTTTTTTATTTACTTTCTTTAACAACTCAACACTCAATAACTCACAACAAACTTTTGCAACAAACACTCATTCGCAACACTCACTTGCAACAAACACTCAACAACTTATTCATTAATAGATATATAACAGAGAAAGTTAGACAAGCTAACAATAATAAACACTTTGTGTGTGGAGTGTTTATTAAAATCAAAAAAGCATTTGATACAGTTAAGCACACAATTCTCCTAGAAAAACTGCAACACTAGGGTATTAGAGGTATTCCTTTTCTCTGGTTTTCCTCTTATCTTTGTAATAGAACACAATTTGTTTTAATTAATGGTATCAACTCAGAACTAGCTAAATCTTTTAATGGTGTTGAGCAAACACCATTAAAGGCTCAGTTTTTGGACCATTATTTTTTCTTATTTTTATCAATAATTTGATTTTTCCGTTAAATTTTCTACTGCTTATCACTTTGCGGATGACTTTAACTTGCTTCTTATTAACAAATCACTTGAAAAATAATTGAATTTCAGATTAAGTGGGCAGAAAATAAATCCAGTTATCTATTATCTTAAATCAAAATAGACTCTAATTTATCTTTTGCATTGCATCTTTATGACTTAATTAAAATTAAACAGATCGAACAGCATATTAGCTAAAATCCATCATCATGAAACTTTGCTTAATATATATCATACTATTTTCCACTCTCATCTCAGATATGCTTGTCAAGTTTGGGGAAAATCTAAGCAGCTTGCTTTTTTAACACTCCAAAAAATCTCTCAATTAAATTTTAGGATATAAATTTGTTTGTAAGAATTAATTATGTAACTAATAAAATTATATCCAAACTTTATATATGACTGTTAAAGCAGGAACAGTAAATAGTTTTCTTGCTATGCAGTATATATAGAGATTACCATTTTACTATTTTAACTAGTGTTGTTATCGACTTCGACTAAATTGACTAAAAATTGTCTTAAAAATCTTATCTTTATCTCTTTGTTTAATTTAACTTTGTCAATATTTAATTTTATTTTAACGCTGACCAATTAGGGGTCGTCCATAAAGTACGTATGCTTTTTTTTTTTTTTGCGAGCCCCCCCCCCACACACACACTTTGCCGTACGCTTTTTTGAGAACTCTTTACCTCTCTAAAAGTACCTATGCTTTTAAACCTACTAACCCAACATTTTATGATATTTTTTTTAATTTAGTGTCTCCATACTTTTATAATTGACCAACTGCCCCCTTATCTCAGAAACGCCATCCTTTTCCTCTCCGAGCGTACATACTTTATGGACAATCCCTTAGTAAAGATATATCCTTATAAGTAGATTATTTTATAAAAATAAAATATTTGTAAAGATTGAGCCATGCGCAAGATCATAGCTGGGTTTTTAATTCAACCAAAATATCTGAACATTGAACCTAATTTTCTGTTTCACATAAGCTCAGCTCTAAGCTTACTGTATGCTGTGCCACTATATCAATGTTTATTTTTCTTGTTATACTGACTCGTTATAAAAAGTTAATTCTTTAAAAAAATATTTAATAAGGTGTCATCAGTTAACAATGCCAAAATAATACAAAGTTTTATAAATCTGAAATCAACAAAAAAGTTTGGCCCTACCAGCCTCCACCTTGATATGCCACAAATATTACGCCTTACAAATTTTTTGCTTTAATTGTTTTGATAAATGATACAGAGAGAATCTTTTTTTTTAATTCTCTCTGTTCTAATTCAATTAAAATTCAATTTGGCAATAAATTCAATCAAATTCTTTTTATTGATTGATACATATAATAATAATTCCCAATGGACATTTTAAACGATTGGTTTAACTTCCTTTAGAAATTAGTAACAGTTAGAATAATTCTAATAATATTAATGATAGGTACTCATGCAAATCCTTCAGGACATTATTTCTGCATGAAGGAATTCTTATCTGAACACACTTAAAAGCCTAAACTACTTTGACTTAATTGTAATAGATATTATATTCTTAAAAACAAAATGTCAAATCGAAACATTCATAAAAGTAAAGTTCGGAATTATTTTGTGAAAAACAATGACTCTACAATAACAACATGTAAATATAAAGATACTTTAACAAACAAAATTTGCAACAAAGAGCTAAAATACAATAAAAATACAAGCTCAATGGCAAGTCATTTGTATGGTAACTGTCAGATTAATATTAAAGTCTAAACTTCCAAGTACAACAACTAGTCATGTATCTATCAAAGCTGCATTTGCAAACTCTCACTCATGTTGTTTAACTTTGTTTTTTAAATAGGTCAACTGCTGTTAATTTTTGATGATTAGTAATTTATTAAAAAGCTAGCTTCGTTTGATAACAAGTACAAATTGCCAACGATACAAAAGTTTTTGTATGAAATAAATTTGAATCATTTAAGGTAAAAGTAAGCATCTTTTAAACCAAGCTGAATTTTGCCATCGGATGGATATCTTGTATTCATACACCCGCGCCACAGTACATTTTGTTGATCAAAATTTTTGTTTGAAATTGATTCGGATTGCATTAAAGCATAGCCCAAAAGCCCATACTAGCCTATATTTAAAAGAGCAATTTTAGTTAATTCTAAATGAATGGAAAATAAGTGATAAAAAACTTTCAATGAGTAGCAACATTTAAATATTATAATTTAAAAAAATTCAAATACTTTGACTAAATTGACTTTTAGTCAACTTCCACAAAATTTAGTCAATTTTAGTTGACTTTGAAAAACACCTTAATCGATTTAGTTGACAGTCGAGTTATTTCAAAGTCATAACAACACTAATTTTAACGTTGTTTCTTCATTTTCTAAATTATCCTTTTTTAATCTTTTTACCTTTTATTCCAATAATCTTCTTAACTTCTTATTTTATAATTACTTTTTTTTCTACTTCTAAATCATAGGAAAGGAAGAAAACTTTTTACAATCATCATTCTTGAATTTGATATATTTGAAGATGATGTAGGTGGCTGAAAACTTTTTTTGGTTGGCAAAAAATAAGCACTATCTAGCATTATATTAGGAATATATACCTGGTTTATAAATGTATAGCATGTATATGGTAACAGTTTTATCATACTCCATGTATTAGTGGAGTTATCCACTTCGACTAAAAGTCTTGAAAGTCAAAATTAGTTGACTTTGAAAAACCAAACTGTCGAATTAATTGACTTAGGATTTCTTATTAATTGACTAAAATTTTAATTCAAGAAAAAATCTTTAAATCCTTTTTTTTTCCATTTGATTCAATTTTTAACTTTTGTTTGTTCATTTAATAAGAATTTGATTCAATTTTTAAACAAAAAACTTTTTTAAAATAAAAAACGGCTTAGCTTTTTAGTTTTATTTATTAATTAGTTCCTTGTGATTTTGTTGTCATAAAATTATCTTTATTATTATTATTTTTTATTTAAGAACTTTTTTAACTATTGCAATAAATTATTTCAAAACAAATTTATTTTACTAATTAAGAAAAACAAAACTAGTTTTATTTTATTTCATATTTTATTTTGTCTATTTTGTTTCAATTTTTTGTTTTGTTTTTAATATTAAATAATTAAATTTAATATTATATTTTTTATTATTTTTTAATATAAAATAATTTCTTTCTTTTTTTGACATTTGTATAAATGAATTAAAAAATCTTAATTTTTTTTTTCTTATTTATTAAAATTGCAACTTAGCAAATAATGATTTTTTACTTTAAAATGTTATTAAAAAACAAAAAATATTACTTGTTGCAAAGAAAAAAAACTCTAATTAATTACTTTATCAGCGCTTTTTTTTGTGACAAACAAAGATTTAAGTACCATTTATTAAAAATATACCACTGTGCTTTCATTTGTCTTTAGGCAAAAAAGTTAAACATGCGCTTTATGAATGTTTTTTGTGCGATGTTATAAGTTATAACGTGTTTACAAGAAATTCATTTTTTTACATAAATAAAAAAGGAGGAAGAAAAATCGAGAAAATAAAAGTTTTTTAATTTAAATAACATTTTTATTTAAAAATCTTTTTAAATTATAAGGAAATTTCTGTTTTCACTTTTTTGATATTGCACAATCTGTTAATTATATAAAGCTGATTGCAAGACCAATTGTTTGAAAAAAACTAATAATAGAGTTATAAAAGTAGTTTTTTTTTTTAACTATAAAAAAATAAACTCTTTATAAAATGTTGTTTAAAGTTTGTAATAAGTAATATTTTTTTATTTTTTTGATAAAATCAATCATTATAACAAAACAAACAAACAAACAAAAAATTTAAAATATCAAAAGTGGCGCTAATATAAAATAAAATAAAACACTCACTATTTTTTAGCTAATATTTTTTTGTTTTAGTTTTATTTTATTTTTTTTATATTTGGTAATTGTATCTTTTATTGTTTGTTATGAAAAATTATATAAATAAATATTCTTGCTCTTGCAAGGTAATAAATAAAACTTTTTTTAATGTTTCTTTTATGATTTCTTTTTTAAGCAACACATAACATCTTGTTTTTTTTTGCTGAACATTTTTGATGGAAAAGTTAGAACAATAAAAATCAAATTTTCTTTGTTTTTCTCTCAACTTATTACATTTGTAAATAGCGTGAATACCAAACGTAGTTTTTATGCAAATTTTTTTATGTAATCGACATTCAAACTTTATAAGTTTGAATATTAAAAAATGATAAAAAATGGCCTACATGAAATGGCTTTGTGTTTACATTAAATGGCTCAGCATGTACATGAATGGTGCACCAGTTTACACTTTAAAACAAGGCCTGATATATATATATATATATATATATATATATATATATATATATATATATATATATATATATATATATATATATATATATATATATATATATTGAAGATTGCCTTATTAATTATGAAAATAACAATTAAATTTAGTTAAAAATCATAAAGAAAACTTAAACTAAAATACATTTGAAACCACTTAACTTACCTTAAGTAAGCAATTGATGATTGTGCTTCAGGTTTTTGCATATACTTTAATACCAAAACACTTCCAGGAGGAAAATTTCTCAAAAGAACATAATCTTTTTCATTGTGAGTTAGAATTGAGCAAAACTGAATAATATTTTGTGGATTAATTTGTATATTGTAAATACAAACATTCATATACACACACACACACAGATATATATATATATATATATATATATATATATATATATATATATATATATATATATATATATATATATATATATATATATATATATATATATATATATATATAATATAAGCAATCAGAGGCCTTATCTGACCTGGCATACAATACAATATTTTGTTTTGACAACTTGGTCATGGCTCTTTGCATGTTTTGATAATTTTTAACTGCGCCTTTTTAAAATGCGAAATAATAAGTAGATGAGGAGGAAAAAACAGTTTTTTTAAAAAAAGTAACTTTACTTCTAATTGTTATGGTATCAAATTGGTATTCTTATTATTGGGACTGTCAAAAAATTTTAAGTTATATTTTTAGGGTGGTCCTTGAGACAACTATTTCTTAAAATGTCTGCTCCCACCCTCTAAATGTGTTTTATATAATAAAATAATACTAGAATTTAAAAATTTCAGAAAAAAAAATTTTTTTAGGGGAGGCTCAAGACCCTTAAACATCAGACGGGTCTTTATAAATATCAAAAAATTAGTTTTTTAAAAGTATATCATGTTCTCAAAAGAAGCAAAATTATATAAAAACTTGCAAAAAAATCATCATTTTATGAAAAACATTAAAAAAAAAAAATTATAATTTTTTAGTAAAAATGGTTTTATTAACTCCTTGTTTCTGTTTGTCTGTTAACATCGAATCTTGCAATTTTTGAGTCACTTTCTGATGATAGATTTTCTTCAAATTTTGCATACATATTCTTGCTTGATGACAATACAATATTCAATAATTAGTTTTGCAATAAGTCAATTAATTTAGTAAATTTTAATTAAGTTTATTTTTTTTATATGGGAAGAAGAATAACTTTTATATGCGATTAGCAAAACTTCATGAAGAATAAAATTAACTAATGGCTTAATTGAGAATAAGTTTAATAATGGTTTAATAAAATAAAACAGTAATATCAGAAAAAATTGATTGCAAAATCTGTGTTGTAATAACATATAAAAGCATTGGGTTTAAAAAATTCATTTTTAATTTTACTTGTTAGTTTATAGTTTAAAAATGTCATTTTCTAGCCAGTGAAATCTAAAATAATAACATTTTGAAGTTTTATTTTGAAGTTTTTATATAATTTCGCTTCTTTTGAGACCCAACATGATATACTTTTGAAGAACTATTTTTCTGATAATTATAGGGACCCGTCTAATGTTTAAGGGTCTTGAGCTACCCATAAAAATATTTTTTTTCAAAAATTAAAAAAAAAAAAATCTATTAAATATTCCTATTACCAATGAGAAACATATAGGTAAGAATGCAACTGCCTACATGATGCATCAAAGTTAGTGGTTAGGTGAGGGGCTTCCCTTAGTAATGTCTTAATAAAGTTAGTGGTCTAATGTCAATTGAGGAATTTACATTTATTGTTAACAGATAAAAGTCAAGAAAAATCTTGTGTAAGTTTCCAAACTTAAAACTATGCAATACTTCTTCCTTAAACTTTTTACAAGACTAATGATGAACCTAACATTTTTTTTATTTTACCACTTAAGCCAAAACCTATATGTCCAAAAGAACAAGTGGTGGTAGGGGCCTCCCTTAATAAAGTCTTAATAAATCTCCTAATTAAAGTCTTTAATTTCATTAAATCAATAAAATATTTATTATTTAAAACTAAAAAATTTATTATTTAAAATTTTTAGTAAAAAAATAATAAACACCTTTGAAATCAAACTTACAAGTGAGTTTTCTACAGCCACGTGCTCATTTATGACCACAGAATAAGTGTGTGCACCATTGATAAAATCATCATCTCTTGTGTATACTTTTTCATCATCCTTTTCAATATATGCTTCCAATACTAAATCTTCAAACATACCTGGGTAATAAATAACAAAGTAACTTAAAACCTGCATTACAGTAACTTCCATCTAATAAAGAATTTTTCTGGGAGCTGCGATGGGTTTCAGTACATACATTATCTAACTAAATAGGGAGAACAATGAAAGGAGTGTTGCTACATTGACTAAGAGTTTGCCTTGAAGCAGCAACTGCTTTTCCATTATTCTTTGTTTTTTTTCTTTATTTTGCAAAAAAATTGTACAACATTAGGTAAGCAAAAAATGTTACTAATGCTATGTTAACATAACAACTATGTATATATATATATATATATATATATATATATATATTATATATATATATATATATATATATATATATATATATATATATATATATATATATATATATATATATATAGTTAATTATTTATTTGTTTTATCATTCGATAAGTTTGTTTCACTTTTCAGTTTTTAGTTTGTTTATTTTTCATTTTTTCTTTAAAAAAATATTTTTAGGGGTCTCTCAAGATCCTTGAACGTTTAATGAGTTCCAATTATCAAAAAACAAGTTCTTCAAAAGTATATTATGTTGGGTCCCAATTGAAATTATATAAAAATTTTAAAAATGATAACTATAATATATAAAAATAAATAGGTTAGATTTAACAGCATTAAAAATAAAGTTTATAAACTAAAAATGAAAAAAGTGCATTTTTACCAATTTTTGTCTTAAATAATTTTTTTTCAATAAGTTTTTTAAAACATAATTATCATTTTTGAAATTTTCATATAATTTCGCTTCATTTGAGCTCAACATGATACACTTTTGAATAATTTTTTTTTTTAATAAACTCATTAAATGTTTGAACTCAATAAGGGTCTTGGGGGACTTCTAAAAATACTTTTTATTCAAAAAATTTTAATTTAAAAATTTTTTAAATCCAGTGTTTTTTTTTTGTGTTTGGCAAAGACTTTAGGGGTAAGCAGAACAATTCTGTTGACCAGCCTTAAACCACTTCTTCGTCTATCTGGCTGGCATAGTTGTAAACCTGTTACATAGTTTCCTGCTTAGAATGATGCTCTTCTTGACTCTACTCATAGATTTTTGCTTGTGCCTCCCTGGTAGTGGCTATGTAACTTTTCCTGTTATCTTCAAATGAGGGTACAGCTCTAAAACTCAGTTTAATGGTTCTGAGGCCAGCTGGTGGTAAGGTTTCCTAAATTATGTGGTAGCTCTAAGAGAGGCTGATTCCATCAACAGCTGAAAAATATCTGAGTATTAACAGTTCCATGTTGTGCATGAATTGTGTCCCTGTTAATGCTTTTGGTGTGCACTGACAAGGCCACATAAGAAGTCTTATGTTACAACTTTAGGTTAACAGGACTGAGATAACCACATAGCTCATTGCTTGGGATGCCGTGCTCTATCAATGAATGAGTGAAGTTTTCTTGAAACTTAAATCATCCCCAAAGTAAACCAAAATATTAAACAAAAAATCGTTCTATCCACATAACAGTTTTAACATATCTTACATAAATATTTGTGGTCTACAAAGTTGAACTTGTCTTCTTGCAAAAGTCATCAAACTTCCTTGCAAGACTAACTTAAATTCCGATGTTCCTTCTTCATATCTAGATATTGATGGGTACTATCCTTTAACTTGCAAATTCTCTAATTATCACATGCTTGTCTTAGGAGTATACTTACATATCAACTATTTGTCAAGAAATTTGAATGTGCTTCTACTTAATACCTCTTCATCTATCACCTTTGTTCTGTATCTCTATGTTCTTTATCACTCTCCATCATCTCAAGATGCACTCTTTTAGATGTTATTCTTAATCAAATTGACCATGCCCTTTCACTTTTAACCCTCTGCTGATATTGTTATTATTGGTGACTTTAATGCTCGCCACACTGAATGGCTTGGCTCTAACAATACTGACCCTGCTGGCACTAAAGCCTATAACTTCTGCATTTCTTAATCTCTTACTAAGAAAGTTAACTTTGTGACTTGTTTTCCAGACAACCATAATCATTTAACTACACTCCTTGACTTGTGTCTTGTCTCTGAATCTAGCTTGTATTCAGTTTCTTCTTTTTCTCCTTAAGGTGATTCTGACCATGCGAAGAACTCTATAAATCTTTCATCTTGTACTTATTCTCTGGACTCACTCTATCACTGCACTACTTACTACCCTAAAACTGACTGGGATTCTTTTTGTGATTTTTGTTGTAATGATCCTTAGGCTGGTCCTTAGGTGATGGTCCTTAGGCTGATGCGTTTTTTCTCTCTGCTGATAAATGTGTTTCCTATGTAACCTCCTGGATCCAGGCAGGAATGGAGACTTTTATTCCTTCTTGTTGGTTCCAAGTCAAGCTTCATTCTACTACATGATTTTCACCTTCTTGTGCAGCTCCTACATCTAATCTTAATAATTTTTTTTCTTTTTTTTTTCAAAAAAATAACTCTTTTGAGAACAAACAGCTATTTATTATTGTAAGAAATAAAAAATTGTAAAAAGGTGCTGTCTTACAAAATTGTTCTCCAAAACTTTCTTTGACTCTCTCTCTAAATTATTTAATAAATACTTGACTGAGTAGTGCTTTCCTGCCTGCTGGAAAATGGCATTTGTTGTTCCATTTTTTAAAAACTTCGGAGAACATTCTGACCTCTCCAATTATCATTGGATCAGTCTTTTTTCTGTTATTAGCAAGGTCTTTGAGTCTCTAAGGAAAACCAATTAATCTTAAAATCATTTTAGATAAAAACTTTTGATTTTTAACTAAAAATTCATTTTTACATGTTTTTAAAGAGTTTTTTTTTCCTTAATATGTTTTTTATAAAACAAATAAATTTTAAAACTTTTCTTTTTTAGAGTAGCAGGTTGACCTACTTTTGAAGAATTTTTTTTACATAATTATTAAGGACTCTTTAAATGTTCAAGGGTCTTGGGGTACCTCTAAAAATATTTTTTGTTCACAAACTTTTTAAATCATTATTTTATTATAAATCGTTATTTTATTATAAAGAACACATTTCGAACTCAGACAAGGCAATTTTTAAAAATTGTTGTTTTTCAATCCACTTTAATATATATATATGACAGAAAGTTTGAGACAGGTACTGAATTTTTAGAAATAAGTTAATAAGTGAATCCTTACAAGTTCAATTCGCTCTCTAATTGTTGTGTTTACAAAACTAAATATTATTAACTATATTTTATCAAAAATTTCTAACTTCAACTTACATTTTAATAAAACTTTTGATTTGTCAAAATAAGCTCTTTTATTCTTTATTACAGCTGAACAGAGCCTTGGCATACGATTAATTAATTTACAAAGTGTTTCAGGTTGTAATGTGCCAAGGGTTATTTATAGAAGATAACTGCTCTTCTCGGACCTTCCTGCCGAGATCTTCCACAGTAAGTCAATCAGATTAAGATCTGGTGATTGGGGTGGTCATTCCATTATTTTTAATACTTGCTGGTGTTATAGATCTTCTAAATAGCTTTTGCAGAGCTTGCTGGTATGATCATTATCATAAGAACATACTGAAAAAGATTTTTTTTTATTTTTCTATCTTATCATTTATTAGTTTTTTTAGGTCTTCCAGAGCATTTTTTACTTGCATGGGCACCACTTTCTTTGTGTTATAATAATGTCCTTTGCACACAATATCTCGAAATTTTCATTTTTTTTGATATTTGAACTTGTGAATAGCTCGTTTCATGATAAACCATAAATTCTTTTTCTTTCAGTAATGATTAATTCTTTTCTTTTACCCATTTTTAACAGAAAATGGTATAAACTATTACTGACATACTAAAACATGAAGACACTCATTGAAGTCAAAAAAATAAACTATTCTAATATATTTGAAACTTTATAGCATAAATTCATATTCATATGCCTCAAACTTACCGTTGATATTGAGTGTGTGTGTATATATATATATATATATATATATATATATATATATATATATATATATATTTTTTTTTTTTTTTTTTTTTTTTCGAACATCGCATTAGCAATAAATTTGTAAAAATTTTAATAAAAATCACAATATTTTTTATTCTTGACATGTTTCGTAGTCTTACTACATTTTCAAAAGATTTAAAAATTAAAAAAGTTATTATTATAATAATAATAATAATAATAATAATAATAGTAATAATATAGTAAGTTAGATAGATAAATTTATAATAAAAGATCCACTTCCTAAGATGCTTAAATCTAACGTTGTCTACAAATTTTCTTGTGCTGGCTGTAACGCCAGTTATATTGGAGAAACCTCCAGACATTTGACAACAAGGATAAATGAGCATCTTACAAGTGACAAGCAATCGCATATTTTTAAACATTTAAATTCATCCATTAATTGTAAAACACTAACTAATTATGATTGCTTTCAGATTTTGGATACTGCCTCTACCATTAACAAATTAAAAATAAAAGAAGCACTTCATATTAAATGGGAAAATCCTTCTTTAAATAAACAAACATCTCATTATATTATAAATTTATCTATCTAACTTACTATATTATTACTATTATTATTATTATTATTATTATTATTATTATTATTATTATTATTATTATTAATATTTTAATATTAGGAAGTTCATTTTGTCATAATTTGTAATATAATTTTTAATTGGTTTGTAACAAGTTTATTTGTCCGTTAATTTTTTCTCTGTATTGTCTTCAGTTTTTAAATTTATTTACCAGAGTTTTAATTGTAAATTAAATCTTTTGAAAATGTAGTAAGACTACGAAACATGTTAAGAATAAAAAATATTGTGATTTTTATTAAAATTTTTACATATATATATATATATATATATATATATATATATATATATATATATATATATATATATATATATATATATATATATATATATATATATATATATATATATATATAAAATTTATAGAAATAAACAACCATTATACAAATATAATTTGCAAAAAATATCTGAAATTTTCTAAAAACCTTCAACTTCAACAGTAACATCTCTAACACAATGATATAAATATTCTTTGTTAGGAGCACTGTGGGCAATAACAATATAACTTTCATGATTTTCAGGCTTGTGGCGAGTAATCACTGTTATTTCAGGTGTTCTTTGATCAACAAATATCTGCAAAATAAAAACTTGCACAAATTAAATTGCACATGGTATTTATTCACATGGTATATCACATTACTTTAGTAATGTACAGATAAGATGAAAATTAAGAATATTCAATGATAATGTTTCTTTGACAACCAATTCAATTGTTAAGGGATGGTCAGGTAGTAATTAAATTATCTTTGACATACTTTTAAAATAATTATGTTAAAACAAGGTAAGTAAACAAAATGAAATAACTATTTTTTAAATAAAAAAGGAAAAAAATTTCATTTTTAAATTTCAAAAACATCTTTCATTTAGCAATAAAGTATAGTCAAAACAAAACAATAATAAAAGCAAAAAAAAATGTACCTGATTGTAACCATCATTATTTAGTTGAATGTGAAAGCGATTCATTACTTCTTTAAATTTGAGTAAGCCATTATGAAAAGAAACATAATCTTTATCTACAGATTTAATGTCTGACCATGAACAATATCGCCTTGATTCATTTACAACAGATATCTAAAATGAAAATAAAATCATTGCAACAGCATAGTGAAAAAAGTTTTTAATGGTAAAAGAAAAAAATGAAAAAAACAAACTATTTTAAAAAATAAAAAAATATTTTAATATAAAAATAATTTCCCTGTGATACTCTCCAAGAAAAAAAAAATCAAAATAAAGAGAAAAAACTTACAGTGATTCCACTGTAAATTTTTTTTTTCACTATTCTAAAAGGGATCCCCAAGTGGGAAGGCAAGTTGTGTGAAGACAAAAATGCCTTTATATATAACCTTTTACAAAACGTATAACTGTAATAATATAATAACACAATCAATAAGTAACGCTTTAAATGTCTAACTTATATTTATTTTATTTTAAAAACAAAATTAATATTACTGCTACAAAACATGTAAATTTAAAAATTATCTTGATATTTGTTAAAACTTGTTCTGTTAATAAAATCTTAAAACCAAAAATACTATTTTTTTTTGTGTGTGGATTCAGTAAGAAATAGTCCAAATAAATATGATTTCATGATAAAGAAAACAAAATATTTTAATGGAAATAAAAATAAAACAAAGTAGAAGAGCTGTATTCTTCATTTCATTACAATTAGCTGTCTCCATTTGAACTAAAATGCTTAATGTATTGTGAACATTTTATAAAAGAAAATCCTAATCTAATTGTATATTTGTGTAAACCACTTAAAAACAGAAAAACTATGCAGATTTATGAAGTTAATATTAACCTCTCAACCAGAAATATAATGACAAAACAATAATTTGTTTTGGTCATTTTAATAAACCCAAAACTTATTTTCAAATGTTTATTTACAAAATAAACATAAATTGTCTTGGAAATCTCTTTAACTAACTCCCTTCATAACTAAATTGTCTTGGCACTTGGCAATCCCTTAGGGGAACTAATTTCCTTCATAACTCAAAAACAATAATTTTAAAGCATCCAATAGAATTGTAAAAAGTATATACATACATTGTGTGGAACGATTTCATCAAAACCCCTGTTACTACCACAGGCATTACTCCCAGCTAAGACAACAGCTGCATTAGCAATCATAGCTTGAGCTGTCCGCACCTAAAAAAAATAACAAAAGAATCTTTAAAAAATAGGTAAAAAAAAATAAATAATTAATTGCTAACTTATGCAGCCTTATTTATCCTTTTTATGTAGCAGTTTATTTAAAGTAACAATAATACATTATTATTATTATTGTTATTATTATTTTTATTATTATTATTATTATTACTATTATTATTATTATTATTATTATTATTATTATTATTATTATTATTATTATTATTATTATTATTATTATTATTATAAAAATACTATAAATACATTGATTTATTAAATTTTATTTTTGATTTAACATAACCATTAGTAGAATTCTTAATAATATTATTGTTATCTAAAATTTATATGCTATATGACATGTAGTGATGTTATTTAAAATTTATATGCTATATGACATGTAGTGATGTTATTTAAAATTTAAACTTATACTGCTAACTAGTAGTGATGTAATGATTTTGATTTTCACTCACAAACTTTTTCTTAAAGAATAAGTTTTATAGTAACAAAAACAAAATCACTAGAGAACATACTTCACTAAAATGCATTCACATTTGTTTACTAAAATGCATTCACATTTGTTCACTAAAATGCATTCACATAAAACGCAAGTATCATTTAGTAAAAAATAAAAGATACAAAAAAGTGAATGATGTAAACATTAACTTTTTTTTCATTTTACTTTTGTAAATGTTTGTTTTTAGTACTATTTGACAAAAAAACATTGTTACAGCCATAGTGACCAGGTATGGGATGTTCAAACAGGTGTTTAGAGTTAAAATACCATTAAATAAAGACTCTTGAGTTATAGAGCACAAATAAACTTTAAGAAAATATTATTTATTATATTATAAAGTACAGCACTTTTGGAAGTTTGTATTATATTACTTTTTCAAACTAGAGACCATATGCATTATTTTAATTATTTTGGGATTCCAAAATGTGTAAAAGGTATAGGAAAATAAAAAAGATTTACTTGAATACAAGTATTTGAAAATTAATCAAATAAATCATGAAAATTGTCATTAAAAATCCTCTGGTGTCATATGGAGTCTTCTGGTGTTGTCAATACTTTTAACTAGTTAAATCTTTACCACAATTAAATTTACACAAAATATCTTGAAGACAGAAATACATTATCTTTAATGATGTTGTTACATCTAAACCATACATAAAACATAGTGTAATGTCAATTAAGCTTGAATGCTTTGAACATGTGCAGAAACACTTAGAAACCAGATTATGCAACCTTTTTAAATCTTACAAAGGAACGAAAACTCCTGTTTCTGGAAAAGGTCAACTTACTGATAAATTTTTATGGTATGGAAATAAGAGCAATGCTCTGCAATGTTTAGGCTATGAAAAAAGCCATATATGCAAAATTGTTTTATTTTACAAAAACAAATTCTGCCCTCCAAATATCAACAGTTAGTGCAAGTACTGATCCATGGGGCCAAATGAATCATAAAACCGTTTAACATAATCCCTCTTTGAATAAAGAGTCTACTTCAACCAATTTTTAAAGATTTAATGTTTGAGTATTTGTTAAATAAATGTTTAGATGAAAAATCCAGAGCATATGGACTCATAAGGTTAAGGTTTCCCAAAACTGTATTTGTTAAAAGGTAAATTCACAACTTTGCACATACACTACTTTGATTACTTTTTTGTCTTATAACATTTTAATAAGATTGAAGATATCCTTTAGAATTTCATGAATATTAAAACTAAATAAAATGATTAATAACCACAAACCATTGTAATGAAAGTTTGAATTATAATTACCAAAATATATCTTCAATATTTAAAAATAGAATAAACATGAATAAAATAGCTCCACTATGACCAGCTCAAATATGATACCAATATTCTACACAAAGACAAATAAGAAACTTATTAAGGTAGGAAATAAAATCAGGAGTAAGAAAATTGTAAGCACAATAAAGAGAGGCAATCACTAGCATTACAATGGATTATATATATAGTTTCAATAGAAGTCAGTGGTGAAAGAGTATAGAGGTCAACTTTGTAATGGATTGTATATATGTTTGTCATGAGAGGTAGTAAACAACCGGGGCTGGTATTTGACCTGAGCCAAAGCCAGGTTTATGGCTGGGGCTGTATAAATATTGGTGCATATTGATATGATATATAAAAACAAGTCAATATGCACCAATGTTTATGCAGTTTCATCAATAGAACCGGCCTTGGTCAGTCAAATACCAGCCCCGGTCATTTTCTAATGAGAGGTGATCAAAGATAATCCAAGAAAAGTTTAATTAGAGGACTCAGTAAGAGTTTTGCCATTCAATTTAAAAATCTCAATAATACTGAGATAATTCTTAGTTTAGTTAAGTTCCAGAAGGTTATTGGAAACCAGAATTGTTCCATTCAAACAGAATTGGAAACAAAGGACGTCGTTGTCCATCAAGGACAACTTTAATACTGCAGACCTTGCAATAAAGTGTCGGGCGATGTGAATTTTACGTTGTCCAAGAGCGATTTTGCGTGTAGCTAGGGCTATTTGCGTTGAGCAAAAAATTTTTTGTTTGAGTATATTTAAAGATATTTTTGAGCGGAATTTTAATGAAGTAATTTACGATTATTTTAACATTTAATAAAGTATTTTAAAAACCGCACGCAGTTAAAAAAGCTAACATTTTAATAAAATTAATCAGCAATAGCAACGTTGTCGATAAAATTGAACAAAAATACTTTCTTTTAGTTTTAGATTTTAAACTTAAATAATTATTTTACGGGGGTTTGATAGGTTTTAAAATTATTCCATAGATTTAAAAATATTGATCAACTGTTAGACGTATTTAAAGTATTTAAGAGTAATTTCGAGGAAACATTTTAAAAATTGGTGAGGGCAAATAAAAAAAAAAAAAAGATTAATATTAAAATGTATTCTACTTGATTCAATAAAAAAGTACAGTTATTAAAATTTTTGTCAAAAAAATTACTTAAATAATAACGATCACTTTTATGTTAAAAGTTACCGAAACTCAACGAAGCGTGCTCAAGAACAGCTGCTGCAAAATAGAACGTCAATAGTTTTTTGAATAATTTTTAAGAATAATTTTTTCGCTGAAATATTTCTTTTATACCTATAAGATTTTTATTCTAACATTTTATTTTATTTTACTAGAAATAAAATTCCTTGTTAACATTAAAAATCTATTCAAAACGTTCGTTTAAGTTTTTTATTAATACGAGTGATTGTACTTATCAACCGCTTTATGAAAATAAATAAAAATAAATAAATATTATATAAAATCGCTTGTAAAAATATTAGCTATTGCACAGTTTTTAATCGTACAATATTAAAATTTCCAGTTTATTACTCGCTGACTTTAATTATTAAAATAATTATTTGAAAAACTTTAAATTACATATTTAAGAAAAAAAAAAAATCAAATATTAGCATATTTTATAATCTTTTTTAAATTTAAGTTATAATGTTTTTTATTTGTTTAGTATAGACAAAACGTGTCAAACGTCGAAAAAATAAACAAATGTTTTTACATTTTAAAAAACGAAACATTCCAAAACATTTTTAAATAATAACATTTCTACATAAGCGATTTAAAGTAGTTTTGCGGTAATTAAGTAAATTGGTGCAGTTAATGTCGATAAATATGAAAAGCAAATAAAAAGAATTTAATGATGTCAAAAATCACGTCGTGCTTATGCGTCGCGCAGTTCTTATTCATCGCAAGGCCTGATACTGCAGTTAGAAAGGAATGATTTAATAAATTTTATAAATTTACTGAAAATATCTGCTGCTCATAACAAAATTGCTGATATTTTAAGATTAAAAATATCTTAAAATATCATCAATTTTGTTATGGTATTGTTATGTATAGACATTAAAAATTATATTTTTGTAAGTATAATTTTTCATGCAAACTGAAGCTTATTTGGATATTTTTCATATATTCACATATTTTTCAGAATATTTTTTATCAACTCTTGAATAATTAGAATAAAAATGAGACCAAGATAAGCATCAGGGTGGGTCATTATATATAGAAAAAAAATAAAAGCTATTTGATCATATTCTAATAGTGATGTTATGTTGTCTTAGGTCAAAACAAATAAAAATTGTCTTTATTTAAGTTAAATAAAGTTGTATCTTTTTATTTTTATAAATTCCTTAAATTTGGTTAAATGTATATAGATGTATATTAAGAACAAAATATATACATTTTATTCTTAATAAAATTTTGTTGGAAATACTATAACGGTCGCAGGTTTTTGACAACACAGGCAAACTTTTAACTGTATTTTTTGTTATTTTCTTTATTTGTGATGTGGAAGGTAAGTTTAGTCTATCAGACAAAAAAATAATGCCCTTAGACTCACTTGAAGATGACACTAACTCCTGCTATTCAATATTACACTTCTCTTGAACTTTGTAAATGTGTAAACTAGATTTGTTCGTCTTAGAGGCTTGTTACCTTTTTTTGTAATTTAGTTAAAAGAATACAATCTACTCCACCAATTCGCATCTTTATTTCTTGTTTTTAATCAAGCAAATACTTCTGCCCTTCTTTTTTTCTCTCGAACAACAACAAAGTTGAATTTGTTTACATTTACATGAACAAATGTTGAATAAAAATAAGCTATGTTATAGAAAATCAATTTTTTAATCAGCAGATAATCTTTTTAAAGATTTGATGAGGTTTTTGCATTTTAAATGATAAACCTTTAATAGCTGAATTACTCTTGTGTGTAAAACCGTAGGAAGGGACAATTTTCTCCAAACATCTTCTACTTTTTGAGACAAAAGCTTAGCAATATCTAAAAATGATGGTTTTTTTATAGTATTTCTGCTAATTTCAAATTGTAATCTATTCCATTGGTAATATTTCATGATATGTTTGTAGGTAGGCATTACATTGTCCTTAATATCTTGTACACTCCCGAATATAAGGCACTGATAACTTTGTCTTCTAGTTTCCATAATGATTTATTAGCAACAATTATGCTGTAAGATA